CTGAAAATGTAGCAATGTAACTTCACTTAGAAATGTTTCAGCTTCTCAAGATCGATCATATTGTTGTTAAAAACAGGTTGATGCATTCACTGAGTCAGCCTTCAAAGGGAACCCAGCAGTAGTGTGTTTTCTTGATTGTAAGGAGAATGAGAGAGACGACCTTTGGCTTCAGTCTCTGGCCGCTGAATTCAACGTTCCTTTGACTTGTTTTGTCATTCCAATCACTGGACCACATGCCTATATAATAAGAATTTGACAAGAGCTTGATTCTTTCTCGTAGGTGGATCTATGTGCTCATGCAACCTTAGCATCTGCTCACTCTCTCTTCTCAAACGGTTTGGTTGATTCAGATCAGGAAATCGAGTTTGCCACTCACTCGGGGATTCTAACCGCTAAAAAGGTTTTGGAAACTGTCAAGCTCTATGACTATGAAAAGAAAAAACCTTTCTTGATTGAATTGGATTTCCCTGTGATTCCAACATGTGAGTACAACTCCTCAAGTGACATCTCCATGTTTTCCAAAGCCTTAAATGGAGCTACCATTGTTGATATCCGAGCAACCACAACCGATACAATCACCTCCAAAGCAGCTTCAACCGATAAAATCATTGTATGCATTTCGAGAATACTTCCAACTTTCCATGCATATATGCTTTAATTTCATGTCTGCTCACATATCCAAAACATATTATTGACTTGAAAAAGGCCTCATCTTTATACGACTTTGAATCTGAGCAACGATCATTTGGTTGCTGGTTGTGCTTCCAACTTGGGAATGTGTCACTGAACTGCAGCCAAGAATGGATGATATGTTGAAATGCCCTGGAAAATTGATTATTGTTACAGCTGCTGCTCCTGAAGGATCTGTCTATGATTTCTGTAGCCGGAACTTCGCCCCCAAATTAGGAGTCGATGAGGTTAAAAATCTATCCGCATAGGCGTAAACAAAGCACAAAAAAGGCTTTACCTTTACCTATTTTGCTTGGTTCCTTTGTTTCTTCAGGATTCTGTTTGTGGAAGTGCACATTACTGGAGCCTCAAGATGAACAAGTGTGACTTTGTCGCTTACGCGGTGACTCCTCTCTCTCCCCCTCTAATCTATAATTTACAAGCATTTTGAAGCTATTTGTGATTTGTGATTTGAGTTGGGGAAATTGGTGTTTAGGCTTCGCGTAGGAGTGGAACAGTGAAGGTCCATTATGATAAGGAGAAGCAGAGTCTTTCTCACTGGGAAAGCTGTCACTGTGATGAAAGGCTCTGTCTTAGTTTAAATCTTTGACTTCCAAAAGTCAAGATTTCGATATCTGGAATGAAAAGTTTATCAAGTTGTCAATAAAATGATGTAGATTCAAAGATCTTTTCTATTATGAATAAGAATCTACATTCTTATAGCCTCCCATAGTACAGATATATCTTTTCTATTATGTAGACTCTTCTACTATAAAAACTCAAGTTTTAATTTTGGACAAAAGTAAGCTTTATCCAAAATCAAGTTAAATTTCAATAAACCATTGGACAATGCATCAATAACACACTTAAAACACACACACACACAAAGAAATAGTACAGATGTACAAGAAAAAAGGAAAACACACAAGAAATTTCTCCACACACAAACAAAGTCCCACCAAATAAACTATGTTCCTTGATTTTTCTTCAAGTAGGTGATCAGAAAGATGGGGATTTGTCGCTGAAGAACCGAGCAAGAACCTTGTCTTCAAGAACCTTTAAAGCCTCAGAAGAGTTTATGCATATAGGTGGCTTGTAATGAGATATAGAAGAACCTTTTGAGATAAAGAAATCCCTGAGAGAATCAAATGTTCCTTGTTGAACCACTCTTATCTCAAGAGCTCCAATTGATCCATCTTTGCTCCGAAACATTCTATAAACACCATTCAATGATTCCTCCATGACACAACAACATTCCACAATTACCTTGTTATCAAGCATTAGATCATTATTGCTATTCTTCACTCTGGATTTGAGTTCCAAGTAAAAAACGTAGTGACCTGGAGCAGTGGAGACTATCAGCATAGCATGTGAAACCCGTCAACATCAAACCCGAAGATTCAAGAACAACGGTCGCGCTAGCAATCGCCTTTAGAAGTTCTTCTTCAGTCGTTGGCTCTACGTAGACGCTTAGAACCGTATTTTTTCTACGTACGAATCTGAATTGAGGTGTGTTGTTGTAAAAACCAGTAACTTGTAAAACATCTCCAATTCTACATCTGTGTAAACCTAACAAGAAATGTTGAGTAACAACATTTGTTGAAAGTTGAAACAAATATTATACATTTGATAGGGGACTAACCTGAATAGTCTGTGACCAAGGGATCATAGTAGCGACCTAACTTGACATCCACAAGATCAACAACATGGTCCATGGTTCCTCCATCAACATCAACCTCAATGAACTCAAAATATGATAGATTGGGTAGAAATGTGTAGGACACATGTTGTGGTTTGCATAGAGGATTCACATTTATGCCGAAATATGTTTCAGAAGACGCATAAGTTGTGGAAACAATAGGCAATTTATCAGAGTACAACTCCAATGTTGAAATATATTGAGGCATAATTCCTGTAACAACACCTTCAATGAATTTGGCTTTAGGCCACAGTCGTGAAACTATACCTTGCCAAGATTCTTGTCCGCACTCAGCGTTCGATTACATCTGCCAATTCAGGATTTGGTTCTCCAAGGATGATAGAGACAGAGTCTCTACAACCACGGTCGGTGATCCCCTCGCTAACGTGACCAAATCTGATATTATTAGACAACTCTTTCCAGTAATTTTCAAGAAAATGGATTGCTTGAAGCAAGCCGCTTGCGTAGATAGCACCTACACTCAACACCACGTCTCTTTGGCAAGACCACAGAGAAGATGACAGTACATACTCTGCTTGGCATCTGGACACAATATGACTTGGTCAGGACTTGTTAAATTTTTGGGCTGGTTCCTAAAATATTCGCTCTTTATAAAGCTCGGTGTCGAGGTAGCGAAAGGCAAACCACAAGGAGTTGTGGATTCCAATGAACTGAAAACAAACCTCATCATCTTTCCTTGCTTAAGACCATCAAAATGCCTACAAACCAAAAAAATATATGAATCCATCTTCCTCATAGACAACACATAAAAGAAGCAAATGTATAGTACAAT